TAGAGACGAAGGGAGGCATAAAGAAAAAAAAAAAAAAAAAGGATGAAAAATTCCTCCCCAATCAGAGTTTCTTGTATGGATTAACTGCGCTTACCCATCCCCAGAGTGTGGTGATCGCTTGGTTTTCAACACCTTAGGTCTAGGAGCTAGCTCTTTCTCACTCCAACGTTTGGGGGCTTCTCCACCGATTGGAGGCTGATTCCATTCAGACAGACGCTTTTCCACTTCATCTGCAGTGAGTAGTTGAACCTCTTTACTTCGATAACCATCATACGTTCGCTGAGCCTCATAGAGGTTATCCGACAGCTTTAACTTAACCCACCATCCACCTCCTAGATGACGACCTAATAATCGCCCTGTGGCTTCAAAGTCATACGGTGCACCATCAGCGCGCAACCCATGTACACGAACTGCACCATCCTCTTCAATAAGAACCTCCATACAGCTGGCTCCACGAGTTCCATCCCCACCACAGTATGAATTATCTGCTGCGAGAGAAATAAGTCCAGGTTGTTGCACAATGCTTGGAGAATCACCAGAAGGCTTATGACCACCACAAACTGTCGTTACCCCACTCCTATTAAGAAATTCCACCGCATCAAGTTCCAAATATTTCGGACCATTAAGTCCCACAAGAGACTGCACAACAACAGAATACGGGACAACAGATACTGGATAGGCATATTGACGCAGGAATATTCCGCTTCCACCTGATCCCCATTCTCTAAATCCCTCTTCCTTAAAATTATTCAAAGCATTAACCCATTCTTCAGCAGAACCACAATTTGTCATAAAGTTACACCCTTGTACTGGTTCATTTTCTATAAAACTCTGCTTTGATGGAACAAAACCAACATTTAAATTAGCTACAATTCCGTGAACAAATAGAGCTCCATCCACAATATCTGCTATTTTTCCTCGCTTTAAATATTCATAATATACCCCACCAGGAGAAGCAGCATCAAGAAAACTTTGAGCTACATCCTCATCAGTTACATTATCTCCTCGTTCTTGTTTCAGTTCTCTAAGTCTATATTTAAAAGTTGATGCAGCCCCCATTTTATAAGTAAGTGCCCATTGAACAAAGGTAGTTTTGCTCATTTTAGGAGGTAAACCTTTTTCTCTCAAATACTCTGGATACGACAAAAATTTTTTACCTTCACCGGAATAATTGGCCAAAGTGATAGGAAAGAGAAGACGTTGTGCCATCTCGGGCGACAACTGCGCCTCCTCCAACATCTGTCTCATTGTGAGACCAAAGACCATTTTATTAATATCACGATTACCTAAAATAAGATGTACACGTGTCGGGTGGGTATCATAAAATTTTATCAGTGCCTTAGAAAATCCAAGGTCATCGCCACGATCAAAAACATCACCCCCATATACGAAATGAGAGGTGTTATCACGAAAAGCAAGAGCTCCATTACTCCACGTGACTACTTTACTTAACTCTGTGTAACGAATAAAGTACGATAAGTCACCTTCCACATCTGTCAGAAAGGCAGTACGTCGACGAATTCCACATCGGGGAAGCATTTTTTTTTATTTTTTAATTCCCTTTCCCCTCACTTCTGCTCCTCTTGCCAGCAGCCTATAACTCCCCAGAGCAAAGCACAAAAAAACCAATGCACGTGGGTGAAAGAGAGCTACCAAGCAAGCAAGGAGAAAAGAATGGGAAAGAAAAACAAAGGAAGAAGAAAAAAAAAAAACAGAGAGAAAAAAGAGAAAAAGGAGGGACGAACCCGAAAGGGGGGAAAAAAAGAACCAAACACACACACACATATATATACAAACACAAAAAATCAAACAAAAGACCTTTACCCTCTCTTTCTTCCAGTTATCTCTACTAGTTTTCGTATCATCATATATGTAAGGAAACCAATAAGCACATAATAGAGAGGTTATTACCATTTTCTTACGCCACAACACCGTAGACAGTCACTACACAGTGCATAGCCTTGTTCTCGGAATGGTGCACATAACACGCATCACTTACTGGATTCCATGAGCAGGCCGAAAGTGCGTGAAATCCTGCACCATTTTTCTGAAGAATAACACAATGTACAATATATTTTCTAGGAAGTGCTGCCTCCTGCGTTAGGCGTTGCGCTATATTCTCTGTAATAGAGGTAACTATTTCGGGAACACTTTCATGTCTATACTTTAATACTGGCATAAAATGCCGCGCCACCGCTTCCTCACAGATGCCTTTTGCATCATCTGCAAGTGTCAATTTCTCTGTCATCAGCTAGTATATCCGCCTAACTCCACGCTTTCTGACCACTACCACCTATATTTCTCTTCCTTTAGTTTCTTACTTTTTTATTAGTATCTAATACCTTTTTCTTTTAGAATAAAACCCATACGAATGAAGAAGAAGTAGAAAATAAAAACAAAATAAAAATATTATCAGCAAGACAGTTGAGACTAAATTAAAATCATATATATATATTTATAAAGAAAGAAATCAATAGATTAAACAAGTTGTTGTCATCACAATATCCCCACTATTCTTCTTTTCTTTCTTTTTCTTTTTCTCTTTCTTCTTCCTCAGGCATTCGACTAAGCAACATCTGAGCTACCCATTGCCAATCTCTCTAAACAACTCTTAATATAACCAACTCGTCGGGGATCCAAGTCCATGGCAGCATGGTAATAATGAACTGCCTGACCTGTTAATCCCATCATGTGAACACATTTCGCAAGCGTTACGTATAACATTGCTTCATCAGGACATTCTTCTGTCATCCTGAGAAGTTCCTGGTGAGCCTCATTAAGACAACCAAGTCGAATTAACACTTCTGCCCGCTGGTGACGAGCGCCAAGATTTGTTGGATGTCGTTCAATAGCACTTTCATAAATACGTAGTGCTTCTTTAAGGTTTTGTTTTGATGCATCTCGTCTATGGTAAGTGGCGGCATATCGATTCATTATAGTAGGTAATGGATTTATATCTATTGCTTGCTGAAAATAACTACGTGCCTTTTGAACATTTTCACTTCTAAAATACAATTCCCCCAATCCTGCATAGGCATTATAATGTTTACTATCAATAAGAATTGCTGTTTGAAAAGCTTCTTCCGCCTCAGATTTTCGGTCAAGGTATAGTAATTCATATCCACGTAGAGTGTGGGCATACGCAAACTCACGATCTACTTGCACTGCACGGTTTAGCATACATAATGCTTCATTTGATTCCTTTACTAAGCTATATGTATTAGCGACAACACACAAAGTAATTGGTGATACAGGCATTTCATTAATAAGAGTCTGTGAAAGTGAACCAAGTAACCCCATTTCTTTGCGTTGCCATAAAGCTGTACTATAGTAAACTAGAACAGGATCTTCTAATCTCCATGGTGTTATTTGACGCATTCGAGCAAATTCCTTTGTTGAATTCTCTACATCCCCATCGTGAAAATATGCCATAGCAAGTGCTCCTAATGCCCATCCAGAATCTCGTTCAGGAAATCGTTCGTGTTGTAGTACATTTCTCGCATCTTTACACTGATAATTCCATAAATAAGATGTTACAAGAGCAAAATAAGAAAAGTGTACACGAACGGCTTCACGTTTCATATTTCTTTCACTCCCACTCTTAACATTTTCACTAGAAAAATATCGTGTGGTTTTATCTGTACTACTAATTAGTGTTGAATCAGCATACATTCGACTTACAGCCTTTCGAGGCGGCCGTGCTGTCTTGACATGCTCTTCATATGCTGCAAAGTTTAATGGATCCAGAATTACACTTTTGGCAAATGCTTCACTGGCATTGCGGTGATGGAGATGACGACGACAGATGCCTAACCAATACTGTACCTCTGAACATGACCGTGTTTGATCCAACTCATCCAATATACGTTCTCCTTCCATATAACGCTGCGTCATTCCACAAGTCACACCGAGTAAGTATTGACATTTCCACTGCGCTGAAGCATCTGCAATGGCGTTATTCTCCACAACTCCTCCGCCACTTCTACTACTTCTACTAGCAGTAGCAGCTCTAGTATTATTATTAGTAGTAGTAGTAGTGGTATTAGTACTAGTAGTAGTATTAGTAGTAGTAGAAATAGTGGTTGGTAGTTTAAATGGATAATGCACACGAAGTAATCTGTAGGCAGTACCAGCATCACCACTCGTGACATGGCAATTTGCCAAAATGTGTAGAGATTCGTATGTCGGAACAAGTGCATAAAGACGTTCGGCGGAGAAAATAGCATTAGCGTACATGTACTTTGACAAACTTTCCTGAACAAGGTCCTTTAGACCCTGCACAGTATAGGTCTTCTGCCGCTCATTGTAGAATGCCATCTACTTCTGTGATGATATGGAAAATAGAAAAAGGAAAGGCAAAAAAAAATAATAAAGAAAACAGACAAACGCATATACATATACATATATATATACCTAAATAAACAACTAGTAGATAATAATGCGTAGATAACAAAAGATAGTACTAAAAATTTCAACTTCACTAACTAAGGCTTTTTTTTTCAGTATCGCAACAAAATAGGAATGCATTCCCTTTTCCCCTCACATCTCCGTTTAATTACCACTTTGCATGCGGCATGGGAAAACGGAGAAAACTTAAAAAAAAAAAAAACATATATATATAAGGGTCTGATCTGTTTCTCTTCTTTTTTTTCCCCCATTTTTTAGCTTATGTGTCTAGATGTAAAAGATATATGTATATATATTCATCATTTAATGTATATATAGCGTCTGCAGATTTATTTATTTTTATCTTCTTCTATCTATGAACCACAAGTCCTAAGACTCACAAAATAAAATTCTTTTCTTAACTACGCATCGACCCAGATTCGATACGTGTAATCTCCGAATACCCTTGCGTATTACTTACTTGGTAGAGAACGTCCGCATTGTTAAACATTCCATCCTTAAGCGATACAAGTAAAAATTGAGAAGTAGGGAAATGAGTCTGTAACATACGTCCAATGTTTTGTGTATGACTTGGATCCAGTGCGGCGTCGACTTCATCAAGAATATACATTGGCGCCTGACGTACTCGAAGGATTGCAAGAATAAGACAAAGAGCTAACAATGAACGTTGTCCACCGCTTAATTCCGATAACGATTCCTTTTCCTTACCATTAAACATAACCTTTACTTGCAAACCACAGAGATGCTGTTGATCATCCCGCTCTTCCCGTAGTACTGCTGCTGCCCCAGGTAAACAAGTAGAGAAGAGTTTTGAAAAGACGCTACTTACAACTTTTACCATACGATCAAGTGCTTGCCATTTTTTTTCTTCTATACCAAGAATACACTGTTGAATAGCATCTCTGTCTTCACCCAATGCTGAACGTTGTTGTACAAGTTCATCATATTCCTTCTTTCGTTCTTCGTAAAGAATAGTGGCTTTACGATTCAATCTCTTTGACATCACAGCAGCTTGAGACTCCGCTTCACGTAATTCTTGCAAAGTGGCAGCTGTTCTTGCCTTATCATTAAAATAATAATTTCCATCAGAAGAACCAAATGTATGTCGTTCATCTAAAATCCATGAATGACGTTTTTCTGCCTCATGAATGGCTTTACTTAGTTCTTCTATTACCTTTGAAGAGTCTCGTAAATCTACTTCCGCATTTTTTACAATTCCTTCAAGGGATGATTTTTTTACCACAAGTTGTTGAAGTTCTTGTTGTACTTCTTCTATTTCTTTTTCCAGTCGTTGACGTTGTTCTTCTGTACGTTTTCGACGTTCAATCACATCTTGTAATTTTTCATTTGTCCCTTGTAATTGTTGTTGAGCTTGTTCTAGTGCCATTTGTCGTTGTTGTATCTCTTCTTGTGCCTCTGACATTTTTCGTTTCAAATCATCTGCGATTTGAGCTGTATCGGCTTCAAGCCATTCAAATTCTGCCGCTCCCGCTTCCTCTTCACGTACAAGTGTACTGTGTCGCTTCTGAGCCTCTACAAGTTGTTCTTGTAATTCCTTACGTGCCTTATCAGGATCTTGTTTCATGTGTTTTTCTAATGTTTCCTTTCGTTTATTTAATTCTTGTAGAGTGGTATCGGATTTTTCACGTTTAAGACGTTCCTCTTCGAGTGTTTTGTTTAACTCTACACCACGTCTATCTGTATTACCTTGCTCAAGTTGAAGTTTGTGAACTGCCAATCCAAACGCTTCTTCTGCTTCCTTGTAACGTTTAATTAAAGGAGTTTGCTGACGTAACTGTTCTTGTACCGTTTCCATTTCAGATTCCATTTGTGCAATTTTTAACCGTAATTCTTCCACTGGGGCTTTCTGTTGTTGATACACGCGAACCTCAGCAAAGATATCCCGCAATTGCTGTGTTGAACCACCTGTTATAAGACCATTAGGTTCAGCCACATCACCATCTAATGAGACGGCTTTACACCGAACAGCAGGATTGTAAGCTAATTCCTGTGCAAGTGATAAAGAAGAACATATAAGAAATTGTCCATACACAGAATCTGCAACAATACGATGAGCTTCATTCTTTACAATGGTTAAATCTTTCGCAATAGCTAGAAATCCTCCCATTCGAGCAGCTATTTTCTTTGCTTCTTCTAAACGTATATGATCAATACCTTTTGGAGGTTGTATCATATTAAGAGGAAGAAAACTAGTACGTTGACGTAATCCACTACGTATAATTTTTTCCGCAATATCATCACTTGTTACCACAACACGTAACAACTGTGTTTGGGCTCCTACCATTAATGCTAATGCATATTTCTCATCTTGTGGGGTTATAAGTTCCGCAACACGACCGTGAATATGTTGTTCAACATCAGGGCAAGAACGTCTATCAAATTCCACATCAAAACTTCGTCCACCACCAACATTAGCCATTTCACGTTTTAAAGCATCAAAAGCTTTCCAATGTTCAGCTTTAAGTCGTACAATTTCTTCTTGTAAAGTACGCGCTCGTCCTTCAAGAGGAGCTACTGCTGTATATGGCTTTGCTACCGCATCAAATCGTTCACGTGCTTGAGAGACTTCTTCTTCAAGTTTCGCAATTATATTAGCCCGAGATGCTGTCTTTTCTGCTTCTTGTTGTAATTGACGTTCAAGTTCTTTTATTCGCTCTTCACAGCGTCGTAATTCGGCACCATGATGAATGAGTTGACGATCAATATCTGCACGTTCTTCTTCTAAAGACATACCAGATGTACCTACTCGTACTCCAGAGATATGTAATTCTAGAGATCGTTTTAGTTTTGCAATATTCTCTTTTTCTGTACGAAGGCGTTCTAATAGTTCTTCTCGTTGTTTTCGTTTTTCTGCAAATTGTTCCATACGACCTTGTTGTTGTTTTTTCTCATCTTCTAGTTTTTGTACGGAAGATTCCAAAGTACGTAGCGCTTTTTTCTCTCCTTCCACACGTGCCTCATCCCGTACGACTTGTCGCTTCAGTTCACTCTCTTCCTCGTGCAGGGCGACCGCCGCCTCCGCTGGGGCGGCCAAAGAGCCTTGCAGCTGCATAAGTCGCCTGGTGGCCGCATCTTCAGTGGTGGGTAAACACTGCAATTGTTCTTTTGCGGAGGTGACATCCGCCTCCAGCGCAGAACGCCGCTCACTTCGATGGGCTAATTCTTTTCGATGCTCCTCATACTCAAAGGCGATGCGAAATCGTCGTCTCTCTTCTATACTTTCACTCATCTGTAGATATCGCTCATACTCATCCTGATCCGCCTTCATCGCACGTAACATGGGACCAATTTGGGTTTCAATATTATCATTAATTTCTTCCATCTTTTTTTCTTTACTTCGGATAAGACTCTCAGCGGTGCGACGGCGGTGGTCAAAGGCCTTAGTTCCTACAGCTTCTTCTATAAGGGAAAGAATATCTTGTGAACGCATTCCGATGAGTTTATGTACTGTTCCTTGTAAAACCATAAAATGTGGATTATCAACATTAAGGCTAATACTTTCAAAAAAACGTTTTACTTTACTTTGCATAGAGACATTGTTATTCAAGAAAAACTGTTGTTTTCCACCCAACTTTATCTGTCGTCCAACTGTGATAATAGGGTACTCTTCACAGCTATAACCAGGTGGAGCTGTGCGAGGATCATCATTTATAAACTCAATCGTTACACGTGCCGCGTGAACACCTGTTGTACCTGCACGAAAAATAAGTTCCCGTGGATCTTCAGCTCGGACACGCTTTAGATTAGTGATACCCATAACAAAACAGATAGCATCAAATATGTTTGATTTACCGCTTCCATTTAAACCTGTAATGGCATTAAAATGAGGACTTAGGTCGTCAAGCGCTTTACGATGGGCATACGACTTGAATCCATCAATGACAATGCTTTTCACTCGCATTTTTTTTTCTTCTTCTTCTTTTCTATCTGTCTATATTAACCTCGTCTACTCTTTTAATCTCCCAGTATATATATATATATATATATATATTTCTATCTAGTTGAGCAAACGTGTGCACTCCACGTCACTCTTCTTAAGTATCAACGTATCACCCCACCACCGTCACCATCCATGAGTCACAAAGAAGAAGTAAAAAAAAAAAAAAAATTGAAAAAAAAAAAAGAAATTATAAGAATAGAAACAAATTCAGGATGTGTACAGAGAGCACATAACAGCCATTAGCTGTGATACTAAATAAAAAATAATACTAGTAATATTGGTAAAAAAAAAAAAAAAAAAAAAAAAAAAACATGCCACACTGTTGGATGCAGATCTCTTGTTTGAGATTTCTTCTTTTTTTTTTTTCTTACTTCTCTTCGTAGTAGCTTCTGTTCTTTTTTTCTTTTCCCAGTCACTGCAACGTACTCACTTTTTCCCAAGATTGATATAAAACACTTTCCATCACGTAGAAAAAAAAAAAAGAAATGACATGGCACAGCATCCTTCCCGTTTCCTTATTTTTTTTTTTCTTTTCTACCTCAATTCCTTGTTCATTTTTATCAGTGCAGCCTAATCATATACGGTAGTTTTGAAATTGATATCATTTCATAGTTTGTCATCAGAAAATGGACGCAATGATCACCTTTTTTTTCTCTTCTTTTTTTGGTTTCTGCTTCACATATACGTGATGAATTTAAGGGAACAAGAAACACAGGCATTCCAACATTCTTTATGTCTCAAGAAGAAAGAGGGCATGACTCTGCGCGATAGAGAAACATTTAAGAAGGCAATTGGAATCAAGCAAAAAAAAAAAAACAATAGTTGGAATACTGAAGAGGGACGCTGCAATCCTCAATCAACATCAACTATAGTCGAATGAATGCACAGACAAGTTAATACACAAAGATTGAGAAATACATGATGTATTTACTCCTTATTTATTCTTGTTTTCATGGTGATGGTAGAGTTGGTAACATTGTTAGTTCTAATAACAATCGCACCACTGAAAACGTCCTCTTTCTTTCTTTTTTTTTTTTTTTGGTTCTACTCTTTCTTATGGGTGAAGCGTTTGGCACATGATAACTGCTTCACTAAACCACATGCATCTTTTTGTCAAGTATTTCATTCTTTTTTTTTTTTGTCCTCCTTTAACTGACTTGGAGTAGAACACACATAAGAATATTGTGCGTTTCTTTTCTTATGATGTTTTCTTTCCTCTTTCCACTCCTGCAAGAATATCTCTTCACATCTGAGATCTTTCCTATTAGTTCATCCCATCTTTTTTTTTTTTACTTTTTTTTTTCTTTTTCTATTCTTCGACTTTTCCCTTCTTTCTTTTCCTTTTTTTTTCACTTGTGTTTGTGTTTTTTTTTTGTTTTTATTTTTTCTTTTTTTTCTTTTTCTTGTGTATATGTATACTTTTTTTTTCGTTTTCCACTTCCTCTATCCTTTTCTTTATATTGCCAAGAAAGGATGGTGGAGCAGCTGCTCTGCTGTGGGTCGTTGTCGAGGATCCCGTTCAAAGCAGAGTTCAAGGAAGTTCATAAGTTTTGGGTCCAAATCCTTCGGAATCTCCGTTGGGAGTCCAGTGGAGTGTGCTATTTTATACACCGCCGCCCACATGGAATTACACTCTGGCCATGGTGGTTTGCCGGTGATCATCTCCACTACCGTGCAGCCAATAGACCAAATATCACTCTTCATACCATACCCGCCCGCCTCACACTTAATCACTTCCGGTGCCATCCAGTATGGTGTACCTACCATGGTTTGACATCCATGAGTTTTACTGCAGACATCATCAATGGCCTTACTGCAACCAAAATCTGCAAGTTTGATGATTCCATCAAGAGATACCAAAACATTATCACCCTTGATATCACGATGTACAATACCACAATCATGAAGGTACTTCACTCCGCAAAGCATTTGATACGTCCACTGACGAACTGTCGGTAATGGAATTGTTTTAAATTTTTTTACAAACGTGTTTAGTGAACCACCACTTACGAATTCCATAAATATATTTAGAGTGTTTTTTTCCCTTTCTTCTTGACTACCATAATACTGGACAATATTCGGATGATGAAGTCGTTTCATCAAGGCAATCTCATTTCGTAATTTTTCCATCTCCTCACGACTGGATAAAGAACCCAACTCAATCACCTTACAGCACACTGTCCGTCCACTAACAAGAAGGGCCTCGTATACTGCCCCAAAGCTTCCTTTTCCGATAATTTTAAGTTGACGCCATCCCTCAAGATCTTCATCTGTGAGAATCAAACGATCTTGTGCAGCGGCTGAAAGTGGAGTAGCCGGGTGACTGCTAGTACTTCCTTCATATGATCGTTTGACAGTTTTGCTAACTGTAGTTTCACTACTAAGACCATTACTCTCTCTACAAGCACTGCTTAAACTGAGAAAAGGATCTGAAGTTTTTGATTTGTAGGAAGAATTTTTTTCATCTATAGGATAATGTCCTTCTCCCAACATACGTAACTTTTGCGGATCTAAAGATTTAACTTCAGCAAGGTCAATATGATCATTATTTTCATCATCAGCAACTACTGCTTTGTGTACTATTTGTCTCTTGTCATGTTCACCATTGACAAAAATACCAGCAACCCAATCACCATTTACCATCCATTCACACCCTTGTCCGTGTTTAAGCCCATCTTTAAAAGATCCGACATATTTGGCACCATCAGCCCAAATATAAGTTCCCTTTCCGTTAGGTTTTCCATGTGCAAACTCACCTTCATAAACTTCACCTTCCGCGTTTGTCATTATACCTTTCCCTTCCTTTTCATTCCGAACAAATTCGCCGTGATACTCATCACCGTTTGCCTCAGTAAGCTTACCTTGTCCATGACGCATGTTGGCTAGCCATTCTCCTTCATAAACGCTTCCACCAACGTACTCCATTTTACCGAGTCCGTGGCGCATGTCATCAACCCACTCACCACTGTAAACTCCAGTTGCGTCTTTTAAAACCCCATAACCGTTTTGCAAACCGCCCTTGTACTCACCTTCATAGTAATCACCATCTGCCCAAGTGTACAAACCATTGCCATCCATGACGTCATTAAGCCACCCCCCTACATAGGTATCTCCACTCTTCCACACAGCTTTACCGTGGCCTGACATGCGTCCATTCTCGTCAACAGTACCAATGTAGTAACCCTCATCAAAATCTATGCGTCTTTGTTCTCCTTGGAGCGGTACCCCTTGAATTGTGCTTTCACTCGCACGTCGCTGTTCCGAACTCATCATTTAACGACTCCTGAAAAGGAAAATAATAATAATAATAATAATAATAATAATAATAATAATAATAATAATAATAATAAAACTACAATAAATAATAAAAAAACCTTCTTGATTCAACTGTATTCACCAGCACTTCAACGCGCCTAGGAAAACGCAAAAAAAAAAAGAGAGAGAAAAGGCGCACACGATTGACTGCTTTCAGCCGCTGCTTCTCTTCTTCTTTCTCCCTCCCCCTCTACGCCCTCTATGATGCAGACGTTTTAAAGGTAGAAGCCACTCAACCTCTACTATTCTCCTAATGAACTACAAGGAAAAAAAAAGAAAAAAAACGTTTGAAGTACAGAAAACACCAACGAAAAAAAAACTAGAAACATGGGCAGTGACTACTTTCTTATTCCATTCTCCAATTGGCGAGACACACTCTTCAGTAAAAATTACATGAATAACTGATATATCCATGCTGAAACGAACACACCACCCTTTTCTTTTTTCTTTCGCACAAGAAAACAAATGCAAAGAGCAAAAAAAAAAAAAAAATGCGTTCCATGTTTCACCACGTAACACAAGTCCTTCCTTCGAATCCTTAAAGAAAACGAACAAAGGGACACAAACAAAGGCAGACATATTTAAAAAAAATGTGAGAAAAGAATGGTGTACATCGATCCCAAAAACTAAAATTTGTCCTAAAGTTTCTCCTTATTTTTCTTGTTTTTTTTTTTTCACTTTAGTTATTCTCGGTATCGCTCTCTCTATTACTATGCGGTGTGGCAATAAAATACCTTTTTGTCAACCCCCCTCCTCTTCAAGGGGGTAAAACACTATTTTCCCTAGTCATCCATGTCATGCTATTCATTAGTCATACTTGCAACGTAAATAATTCTCACCTGCAACAAAGAAAAAAACAGTGGCAACGTATTGGACAAGAAACTCGTCCTTCGCGCAGAAATACCATATACATGCAAACAAGGAAACCCCTGTAGAAACGATATTACAATAATATAAAAGGACCAAAACATATACATAAACAATTTAGAATCCTTTTTCAGATGGTAAACAAACCATTATAATATATATATATATATATCAAACAAAATAACATTTTTTTTCTTCATTCATACAGCTCATAAAAAATTCCGTTTTCGTACGCTCATTATTCTTTTTTTTTTGTTTTGCAGCTCTTTCTATACCTAGTATTTTTACTACTTTCAACGTTTCCAGTAATCGGAAAAAGATGCCCTGGTAGTGGTTGTATACATCGATGGATCAACATGACGTGGTGTTACCACAGGACCCGATACTGGACGCTGGAAAGGCTGCAACTCATGCTTTGGAAAGTTACTCCTGTATTCACTGGCAAAATCACGATTATCTGGAACTCTGGCTTTCAATAAAGCACCTGCTTGAGTAGCACGTGCAGGGGCAATGGGGTGCGCCTTAAAATCAGTATGCGACGTGCTGCGGTAAACCTCGGGGTCAGTGTGACAAGGGCAAGAGTAATCTCGTGTAGATGATGGAACGTCAGCAGATCTTGGAGCAACAAATAGTGGAGCCGCGGTTCCTTTTTGAGCAGCTGGCCCTCTAACAACACGTGGTGTTGCCGAACTTAGTTTCCCCACAGATCGTGCTGAGCTGGGAGGAACACCTCTCGCAGAAGAAACACCATGACGTTTGGCTTTTGCAGCTTCTCGCGCAGACGCACGCTGTGGTAGCACAATAGGGGGGACCTGAACAGCATTCTCATTAGATTTAGATTGTGGTTTATCTTCTTGAGCAGCTGAAGCAACAATAGGTTTGTAAGATTCCTGAGATACAGATCTGTATGCATCAGGACAATAATAACGACGATTGACATCTTCATCAGACACATGAGTAGTATCACGTTTATAAAACTCAGGATCAATCGGACCATACGAATCATGCGAAACACTCCTATAAACATCAGGATCACCATGACGTGGCTTAACTTCATCAGCCTTAGTAACAGAATTACTAATTTTGTACGCGGACGGGTCGATAGGTTTGTACGCATCCTGTGTAGTAGAACGGAAGTGGTTGGGGTCAACGTGACGGGGTCCTCGTTTCTTTTCATCAGAAACAGGATCGTTTCTTTTATACGCCGAGGGATCATAAGGCTTGTATGCATCCTGTGTAGTAGAGCGGAAGTGGTCAGGATCCACATGTCTGGGTTCCATACCATCCACCCCCTTTGTAGGTTCATCGTGCTTATATGCCGA